CTAAACATTGAACTGAAAGTAGAGTGAAGCTATTACTTCTCAAAGGCTGTCCTAAGTAACAGACTTCCACCAGCATGTTTATACCATCTAAGTCTCCCGCAAACAGTGACATGAATTGAGGACACATGTTCAAATATGCCAGCTTATGGAGGATGTTTCTCATTCAAACAACCACAGGCCTGAAACTCACTAGATAGGCAATGCTCTCTGACCAGTGAACCTCATGAACCTACCTCGTTCTGACTCTCCAATACTGGCATTACTAGCATGTATTGCCATGTCTGGTTTTATACATGGGTCTAGGAATTAAATGATGTATTTCTGATTACAAGGCAACTGTATTACTTACCAAACTATCTCCCTAGCCCTACCCAGACTCATTTTTAATGAAAGCATTTGTATCTTAGTATTGAGTTAAACACAAACCCCTTCTTATTTACTTATTGATAATCTTATAATTTTATTATTTTAGTATGTAACAACTGACAAAAACTGTTATTGATTAGTCATTAAGAAAAAATGTATTTTGTGCTGTTGATGATTTATACTATGGTGGCCATATTTATTTCATTTTGATTATTTTAAAAGATAAAAGACAGTTATTTAATTTTAGTTGGGAAACTAATTTAATAAATTAATATGTATTGATTAATCTTTATAATAATCACAATTAAAATATTTATAAACTTTATTATCAATTTTGTCAAAACATTGTGTAGGGACTATAAAAAATTCATTGCATTAGTAGTCAATATAGAATAATTCATTTTCTAAAAACAAGGCCAATCATTTTATTATGGTAATTGGTAATGATTTGCATATCAAATGGAAATTTAGTATTAGAGTTAAAATGAGAAGTGAATTCATAAAAAATATTCACCATACAACATCATTACAGTGTATTAGAGGTTTTGGTTAATAAATGATAAATATATATTATGTCTTTGGATTATGGTCAATGATTAACACTTAAGTGAGGCTTAAAGCAACAGACCTGTTCTCCCACGATCCTTAAAGTCAGAAGTCTGGAATGTGTTATATGTTTGCTTATGTACTCGACACCTTCATTTAGATCCTCTGCACCATCAAAACAGACAGAAACACACAAAAGCAAATAAACACACAAAAGTGTTTTTATAGCCGAAACAAAAGAGTGTGGTGGCACATAGCTATAATCTCAACACAAAGTAAATTAGATTTGAGACCACCCTGTGCTTGCTACAGCTTGAGAGACTATCTCAAACTAGTTAATTACACAGTCTTTTAGAACTCTAAAGTCAGTAACACTAAGCAGAAATCGTGAGGGTCATTATTGTACTACAATCCGTCCGAAGAGCTGGGGAAGAATGCATTCCTCGGTTCTTCTAGAGGCTGATACATGCATTGTTGGTGAGGTCAAAGCACACATTCACTAAAGACAGCATCTTCGTTTCTCTCAGCTTCTTAACCAATGACCTATCCTTTATGTCAAATAACCATCTACTTTTCATTTTTTTTAATTTTTTTATTTTTAATTTTATTTATTTTTCTCCCTCCTCTCACCCCCCAGCCCTCCCCCCCAATCCAGCACCCACTCCCACCTCCTCCAAGGCAAGGTCTTCCCTGGGGAGTCAGCCCAATTCCATAGATTCAGTTGAGGCAGGTCCAGTCCCCTCCTCCCTGCACCAAGGCTGAGCAAAGTTTCCCAGCATACGCCCCAGGCTCCAAAAAGTCAGCTCATGCACCAAGGACAGGTCCCAGTCTCACTGCCTGGGGGCCTCCCAAACAATTCAAGATAATCAACTATCTCACTTATCCAGAGGGCCTGATCCAGTTCTATGGTGGCTCCTCAGCTATTGACTCACAGTTCATGTGTTTCCACCAGTTTGGCTATTTGTCCCAGTGCTTTTTCCAATCATGGTCTCCATACCCCTTGCTCATTAATCTCTCCTCTCCCACCAATTGGACTCCTGGAGCTCTACCTGGGGTTTGGCCGTGGACCTCTGCATCTGCTTTCATCAGTCACTGGATGAGAATTCTATCATGACAGTTAGGGTATTTGGCCATCAGATCACCAGAGTACATCAACTCAGGCACTCTCTCGACCATTGCCGGTAGCCTATAGTGGAGATATCTTTGTGGATTTCTGGGGACTTCTCTAGCACTCTGCTTCTTCCTATTCCCATGGGGTTTTCATTTATCATGGTATCTCTTTCCTTGTTCTCCCACTCTGTTCCTGATCCAGCTGGGACCTCCCACTCCTCTAAGCTCTCTTTCCCAGACCCTTGCCTTCCATTACCACCGCCCCCCCCCCCCCCCCCCCCCCCCCCCCCCCCCCCCCCCGTTTGCCCATGCAGATCCCATCCACTGTCACTGGGCTATCCCTATGTCTCTCCTAGGGTCCTCTTTATTAGGTAGCCTCCCTGAAGTTGTGAGTTTCAGTCTGGTTATCCTTTGCTTTACATCTAGTATCCACTTATGAGAGAGTACATACCATGTTTGTCTTTCTGAGTCTGGGTTACCTCACTCAGGATGATATTTTCTAGTTCTATCCATTTGCCTGCAAACCGCATGATGTCATTGTTTTTCTCTGCTGAGTAGTAATCCATTGTGTATGTGTACCACATTTTATTTATCCATTCTTCAGTTGAAGGGCATCTAGGTTTTTTCCAGGTTCTGGCTATTACAAATAATGCTGCTACGAACATAGCTGAGCATGTGTCCTTGTGGTATGATTGAGCATTCCTTGAGTATATGCCTAAGAGTGGTATAGCTGGGTCTTGAGGGAGACTGATTCCCAACTTTCTAAGAAAGAGGCATATTGATTTCCAAAGTGGCTGTACAAGTTTACATTCCCACCAAAAGTTTAGGAGTATTCCCCTTGCTCCACATCCTCTCCAGCATAAGCTGTCTTCAGTGTTTTTGATCTTAGCCATTCTGACAGGTGTAAGAAGGTATCTCAGAGTCATTTTGATTTGGCATTTCCCTGATGATTAAGGATGTTGAGCAATTCCTTAAATGTCTTTCAGCCATTTGAGTTTCTTCTGTTGAGAATTCTCTGTTTAGCTGTATAGCCCATTTTTTAATTGGACTGTTGGGTATTTTGATGTTTAATTTCTTGAGTTCTTTATATATTCTGGATATCAGCCCTTTGTCAGATGTGGGATTGGTGAAGATCTTTTCCCATTCTGTAGGATGCCATTTTGTCTTATTGACCGTGTCCTTTGCCCTACAAAAACTTCTCAGTTTCAAAACTTCTCATTTATTAATTGTTTCTCTCAGTGTCTGTGCTACTGGTGTTATATTTAGGAAGTAATCTCCAATGCCAAGGCATTCGAGACTACTTCCTACTTTCTCTCCTATCAGGTTCAGACTAACTGGATTTATGTTGAGGTCTTTGATCCACTTGGACTTAAGTTTTGTGCATGGTGACAGATACGGGTCTATTTGCAGTCTTCTATATGTTGACATCCAGTTATGCCAGCACCATTTGTTGAAGATGCTTTCTTTTTTCCCTTGTACAGTTTTGGCTTCTTTGTCAAAAATCTACTTTTAATTTTTAAGTATATGTATGAAACTATTTTTGGCTTACTGAGATAATACAGGAAAATCCTACTATGCCAACATTCCATTTTTAATCTCATCTGCAAAGATTTTCTTGACATGTAAGTAGAAATTTACACAATGTATGTATCAGACAAGAAGGTCTTTGAGACAATTCCTTGTGTCATAGATCATCATAAACGTCCATTCTTATCAACTATAAAACATTATTATAATAAGCAGCTCTCTTATAGGCCAATACCACTATAAAATAGGATGTATTACTAAAGAAACTTTAAAATAAATCCTTCCTTAAAAGCAGCCAAGGATGTTTTGAGAAATGACCTTATTTACAGCTGAGACAAAAATACTGTGATTTAATATTAATATTATTTAATATTAATACTACTGTGAGCTTAATGTGGGATATCATATTATACTAGCAGATAAATGCTCAATGAACAAACCAGTATGGTATTAAAAAATGAAATGTAAATGAAAGAGTTCACAAAGACCAAAGATGAACTCGTTTGAGCTACAAACTAACTAACACAGTATTAATTAGATTACAACTCGCAATACTAGATAGAAAACTGAGTTTCCACTGGTACACATAAATCATTGAATAAGTATATAAATTGATGAATGATCAAATAATGAATGAAAGGTCACAAATAGGGAAATATTTCTTATAAAAAGTTATAAACTTTTAGCACAGTATTTCTCCCATGAACATGCATAACTTAAGCTCTCTTGAGTTTGGACTGTTCATGTGTTTGAACTCAATACAGTATATAATACAAAGGGAGATCCTAAGTAACTTCAAGGTAAAGAGCTATATATTTATTTTTTCCTTGTGAGCATAGCCTTTAACGGCTGAGCCATCTCTCTAGCCCAAAGGAACTGTGTAATAAACCACAATTAACACTTAATATCAAAAGCGTAAGTTACGTTGACAAGCTCACTGGTTATAAAGGAATGTGAATGACTCTTCACTTCTAGATCTCGCCCTTCAACCCCCCTTCACAATCTAACCATGAGAAATGCAAGCGATAAATTTCAGGTGAGGCCCACGTTCTGTACTGTATAAAATGAACATTACTTTTCAAAATTTTCATGATTACTAAAAGCAAGGAAAGTCTAAAAAATAAACTACATTCACGATAGGAATCTGAGGACACTCAATGACTAAAGTCTGGTACCCAGGTAGGAAAAATTGAAATCAAGAGAAGCGCGAAACAATGAATCAGTACTTGCTACTTATGGTGTAGTTATTGCAATCTGTCAGAAGCTGTGGCCAGTGTACCTTCATAAGATGTTGATGAAATAGTAGATTCTGATGTTAATGAGATAATAAATTGTCGGGTTCCTATGAACTTCCCATCTTGTCTTGACACGTTTTAATTTAATAGAATTTACAAACACATACATGTTTAAAGGTAGTGGACATTCACATTCTGTGTATGCTTTTTTTCTAGCTCAGTTACCTGACTGGTCCATTTTCTGGGGACTGTAATCAAGTTGGAACTCAATAGAAGTCTGGAGTACTGAGAGGATGGTAGCCTTTTTAAAGGTTGGTGACATCTCTTATCCAGAATATGTGCTTTTTAGCTCAAAATAAATACCTCAAAGAACAAATTCCATATAAAGCTTTAAAATATTTATTTCATCTTAAATTGGATTATTAAAGTTTTTATATATTTATAGAAGGTTATCCTAGATTATAAAATCATGAAACTGATGTGATCCTTTCTTTTTCCAAGGAGTCTATTTTATTTCTTTATAACATTTTTCTCACACCTTTTAAATTAATATATCAATTTGAGAAAACCTAGCAGTTTTCTTTTTCTTAAAAAAAAAACACAAACAAATGGATATCCTTTTTCTACCATCTGTTTTATGATACATTTTCTACCCTCTCATAATTGGTGACAATATTTGTGCTCAGTCACATGTGTCTCATGTTGATGGCATGAATGAGAAGGAGCTTTTAAATGAGGATACAGAAAGTAACATACTTTCTCATCTTTATTATTTTTATTATGGCTCAGCGATATTCAATTGCTGTTTTTGCTGGCAACTCCAGACTGGTTTTCCTTGTGGCTGGCAGGGATGTGCACCCTGATATTTAAACATTTAGTTAACCTTCATGGACACAGCAATTAAACTGCTTCTGTGACACTTCCCGTCTGGTAATGATAGAATCTATTCTTAGGATGTAGTTGAAACAGCCTTGGTATTCTCTGTTCCTGATCAGTGATCAATTAAGATTAACCATTACTGGAGAATTTCAGAAAGAAAAGTGTAAAGGGGTAAGGCAGGCAAGTCATTAAACTCATGTGCCTCTATGGATCTTGCTGTAGTATTTGTAAAAATCTTCATGCATGCTGGTATTTGATAGGTATAAAACTGAAGACTTTAGTTTTACTATGTCATTTGTGAGATTAACTTATTCAAAGCATGGTAGACTTCAATCTAGTTCTATAACATCAAGTAATTCCAACTGTCAGCTTGAGTAAAAGTTGTGCATTGTTTGGATAAATTTTCCAAATAAAGTTTAAAGTGAAATTAACTGTTTTGTGTTTCAAGGGTGGATCTCTGTCTCCTTTGGTCATCTATTTTTCTATTAAAAATTGTCATCAATATTTAAATTTTTATTTATGAAGTAGCTTATCTTGACATTGAAAATCTGACTTCTTGAAAAGATATATCTATTCTTAAATCTTTGATCATGATTGATTTTGGAATAAGATTTTTATTATGTATTATACATATAATAATATAAATGAATATTCCTGTTAAAACCTGTCATTGGCAAGTTGCCCTCTTAAAAGCCCATTACTTCAATCTAGATACTTCATATGATGTAAAATAAATTTGTGAATATGAAACCTTCTAAAGTAATTATTAATATTTATTTACAGTGATGAAAATCACTCCCAAGGCCTCACAGAGCTAGACAAGTGTTTTATAACTTACCATCATGCACAGACTAAATTAAAAAAAAAGAATGTATCTTTTCCTCCCGAATTAAAGAAGAGAAATTCAATCTTCTCAAAGGTCTTGTGTTTCATTCTGTGTCCTAACTGAATTTGTAACAAAGACTAAAAAGAAGTTGGTAATTTTTTTTGTATAGGATAATTTAAAGATCTCAACTTGATAAAAGACAAACACAAAGATATAGAGATATTCAGTCCTCATTAATGAGAATGCATTGCCCACTGTTTAAGATATTGACAGAGAATACTTTGACATTGTTTTCTTCTTAATATTTTCATAAAATTCACCTCTGAAAGTAGTACTGAAACTAACCTCCTTAGAATCAAATAATGAAGTAATGTCTAACAATAGTAAAGCTATAGGTATATATAATTGACCTTATTAATAAGAATGTTGTATTTTATTATTTTAATTTCAAATTAAATACTCTGAGGTCCATTTTAGCTCAATAATTTCTTATAATTATTATTGAACAACAGGAGAAATGTTAACTTCTGAAACATGTTACAAAACTCAGTAAATAATTATACTTTGGACTTCTCTGTTACATACATTGACATCTTATAGGTAACCATATTTATTATATAGATCATAACAAAAATGAAAAATAGGGAATTTTGTCTGGCAAACTTTAAGGCATTTAGGTATTTATGAAATTAAGTGGATATTCAGTATGGGGATATTTGGCAGATAAATCTGGAAGAGTAGATGACAGAGAGCAATGAAAGGAATTAGGCTTTGGGGTCCTGTTACACAGAATACAATATTTTGTTGTTGCCGTTTCTTTTTTGAATGTAGAAAGAAACACCTGAACAGGGTTGTAGCTAGGGAACAGTAGGGGAATGGGTTCCTAAGATAATTATTTGACAGTACAGTTAGTACATAGAAGTTTCTGACATTTTAGAAGGCCAGGTTTAATTTTGTTCTGTGCACCCTTTCCTACACAAAGTAAAGGAAATTGCTTGTATTTGTTTGATAGTAAAGACATTCATTTTTCTCGAGGGATATTTGTGTTGTATGAGAGTTTAAATAAAATTATTCAGGATTGAGTCTTAGTTGTTTTGGGGGGGATTTTTTTTAAATTTTTGGTGGTGAGGAGACAAACTTGGGGCGAAAATAATGTTTTCAAAATGAGCTCTTGACAGAAAGAGACAAACAGATATAGGAACTATCTTTAGAGAGAGAAAAAATAAGTCCTCAGAGTATCGGTTTGAGTGGCAGGTCCTGACCCTCAGGAAACACCAGCTCCGAGCTGCTGATGAGGTGAAACTCACATGCTGAGGAGACAGAGCAAGCAGCAGGACTGCTCAGCTGGAGTGAGGAGGACATTTTTGCTTCCAATGCTCACAGGACTCTGCTGACTTCACCACTGGGGCTCCAAACATGATTCCCAGAACCTTAATTTTAAATGGACTGTTTAAGAAACAAGAAGAGATCCACTTGCAAATTGTTACTACTGTTTTTCCAGCCAGGATTTTCTTTGGGTGGTAATTAGCAGATCTAAAGGAAATAAATGGAGAGAATGTCTAATTTGGGGGATTGTCAATGGTTAATAACTTGAGACATGCCTATTAGGATCTCACAATGGTCTTGTCATTGGGAATTACGCCTCATCATCCACATAGATTAACAAGTACTGAAAAGACAAGGAAATGCAGAATCAATTGATTATTTCAACCTGACCTCTTCCAGAGTTTTCATTCAAAAGAAAGATTCTCCCAGTCTTTACCATGACTACAAATTTCCAGAACTGTTAAAGCAAGCTCACTTTGAGAACTATCAGCAGGAGAAATTCTACAAAGGATCTCCCATTTTACACAAATTTTCTTTTTCATTTATTTGTTCAATTTTTAATTTTAAGTGTCATAGGACACAGTGTGGCACTAAAATATTCAAGACAGACAGACAAAGGGCCATTTTCATGGATTTTATTCCATGGAACAATTTTCAATTACTTTTAAATGTCACTGTCTTATGTAAACCTTAAGATGCTATCCTTTCAATAATGATAAAAGACACAGGAATAAAAATTAGTTTTTGCTTTTCTTGTATCTTTAAAATTGTCCTGGTCATATGTTGTGCAGATTTAATATTACATGTCAAGTCACAGTATAGGACATTGTTCTATCACTCTAGTTAGCTAGCATTCCCTCAGTACATAAGCAGTGAGCATAGAGATCCTTTGTTCTAATAAAAAAAGTACTGCAGGCGAGATGGAGAGAATGCTCCGTTATGGTCTATGGAACAACAATCCATAATTTACTTTGCAGATGTCTGTGTAATTTAAGCAGCAGGCAGAACAAGCGCACAGTTGTAGCTGCTCCAGGGAGAGGATATCAAGAGGCTCATAAATCATGGTGAGGATTAAAAGCCATGAGCATTCATCTTCTTAACCCTGTAATGCAATCTGGAAGCGCCAAGTATCACAACACACAGAGCAACACCCTTTGTGCAGGGAGAGAAGGTGTCGGCATTGTGAAGACTTCTCTCAATTAGCATTGACCTCCTGATTTGCAAGTCAGTGGAACATGATTTTAAAGTTGATTAAAAAGATACCTCCTACATACTAAATTAAATTGAATAAGCAACAAAGTACATTTCTGGGCGATAGAAAACCTACTAAAACCACAGAGAACTGTTAATAATTTGTTAGATTGAATACATTTCTTCCAGAACATTATATAAAAAATTGCCGGGCGGTGGTGGCGCACGCCTTTAATCCCAGCACTCGGGAGGCAGAGCCAGGCGGATCTCTGTGAGTTCGAGGCCAGCCTGGACTACCAAGTGAGTCCCAGGAAAGGCGCAAAGCTACACAGAGAAACCCTGTCTCGAAAAAACCAAAAAAAAAAAAAAAAAAAAAAATTACCTTAAAGCTATCTAATCCCCATAGGTCCTTATGTTGAGACAACAATAACTTTTTTTTTAACTTCTTTTCATTTTACATATCAATGTAAATACCCCAATGCCCTCTCTCCTCTTCTCTCCTCAACCCCCCCCACTGCATTCCATCCCTCATCCACTCCTTAGAGGGTGTAAGGCCTCCTACGCGGAGTCAACAAAGTCTTACATGAAAATTTGAGGCAGAACCGAGCACCTCCCTACTGCATCAAGACTGCCCAAGGTATCCCACTACAGGAATGGGCTCCCAAAAGTCAGTTCATGCACCTGGGAGAAGACCTGACCTCACTACCAGGGGACCCACAAACAGATCAAGCCACACCACTGTCACCCACATTCAGAGGGCCTACAAGGTCTCACACAGGTTCTACAGATCTCAGTCCAGAGTCCGTGAGCTCTCACTAGCTCCAGTCAGCTGTCTGTGTTTATCCCTGTCATGCTCTTGACCCTCCTTGCTCATATGATCTCTCCTCCCTTTCTTCAACTAGACTCCAGGCGCTCAGCCTAATGCTTGGCTGTGGATCACTGCATCTGCTTCCATCAGTTATTGGATGTAGGTTCTATGATGACAATTAGAGTAGTCACTAATCTGATTACAGGGGAAGGCCAGCTTAGGCACCCTCTCCACTATCACTAGGAATCTTAGCTGGAATCATCCTTGTGGATTCCTGGGAA